AACGCCTGGGGCCGACGGTCGATAGGCGCAGGATGAATTTGGGAGGAGAGACTGGTACCTTCCAGCCACACCGAGTGGCACCCGGGGCAGGGAGCGTCATGGGGGCCACTTGAGGGCTGGGAGCGCTTTGCCCTGGCTCACTTGCACGTGTACCCGGTGGGTTTATATCCATATATTGTGGTGTTGTATTTATAAGGCTGCCTGAAGGGTCAGGGCACCGCTCATACCTGCAGAAAGCACCGCTCATACCTGCAGAAAGCACCCAGGGGCCTCACCGGGAGCTCAGCACCCGGGCTCCACGCTGGGGCAGCCGGGGGCAGGAGAGTCCCGGTGCAGCGGAGCACCGGAGCACCGGCTCCCTCCGGTTGATGCCCGGGATTACCAAGCACAGTAGCAGCTTCCCAAGCCCGTGGGCAGGCGTGCGCTCGCGACCTGCCCCGCTGCGGCCGTCTCGCCCTGCTCTCCGTTGCATCCCTCCCCTCCCAAAGGCTTCCAGCCCCTTCTGCGGTGAGGGACAGTGGCTGGTGGCAGCCAGAGCCCCCAAGCCACAGGAAACCTCTAATAAGAGGCTGTTTAAATTCGACGTCAAGGCTTAAGTCCTCTACTTATTTCCTAATCGCTGTTATTTGCTGAGCTGTGCGGATCCAGCCACCCAGCCCGCACCCTTGGCAGGTCCTCATCCCCGAGAGCCTTTTGCTCCGCTCCCGCCTGGCGGCGCAGAGCCCGGGAGCTCACAGCTCTGCCGTAGCCCTCGCCCATGGGGCTCAGGATCGCTGCCCCCAGGCAGACAGCCCCCGCAGCAGTGTGCTGGTGCACCGGGGGAGCTCACCGACCCCAGCGGGTGGGCAGGGGTCCCCTGTGCCGAACCCCACCGGGGCCGAGGAGAGGCTGCCCGTTCCCCCTGCCCTCAGCCCACGCTGTCGCGTTGCCTCTCCCAAGCTGTGCCAGGGCTGGGACAGTTTGGGGCACCAAGCCCACCCCATGGCAGGCAGCGGGTACCCCGGGCAGGCAGGGCTGCCTGTACCACGTCACCCAGCACACCCGCGAGGGACAGTACCTGGGAGGCAGCCGAGCCGGCTCGGGGGTCAAAGATCCGCAGTTTCTTGTCCTGTTGAGATAAAAAGAAAACAGAGGAGGGTTAAGGACCCCGGGGCCAGTGGGATGTCAGGCCGTGTTAGGCAGAAGGCTGGAGCGAGCAGCCCCCCTCCTTCCTGCCCATCACTCTCCTGCCTGCAGTGCCTGCCCCTACGCTTGCACAGCATCCTCCAGGTCCTGCCCCACACCGTGGGTTGGGGCACACCCCCAGGACCCCCCCAGCTTCACCTGACACCCTCAAAACTTCTCCCAGAGAAGGGGGGAGCCTCCAAAGCAGAGCCAGGGCTGGAGCCCCACCTCTTGGATGCCACCCTGCCAGCGCTCCCCAGCATCCTGCGGGCAGGAGAGCGAGCCCTCCCCTGCCTGGCACCCCGCAGCCAAACGGGGCGTGGGACGTCCCTCGGAAAGGGCGCAGAGGCAGCAGGGAGGTGCCCCGGTGCCAGCCTTGCTGCCAGGGTGCTATCTGGGGAGCGCACACTGTGCCAGCCAGACCCACGCAGCACAGCACGGCGTTGCTGTGGGCCTCGGGGGCCACACGGCACGGCTCAGGGGTCTTGGGCTCCACACTCAGCCTGTTGGCTTGGCACGGGGCTCCAACCGCTCGCTCAGCCTGCACACTCGGTCTGCACGCTTGGCCGGCCTCCGTGCTTCATCTTGGGCCCAGCTCTGCACGCTCAGCCGGGCTCACACGCTCGGTCCCGCTCTACTGTAGAACTGTAGATCCATCTTAAATTGCTAGCATTGTGTTTTAGGCTAACTTACTAATCATATGAAGTAAACTACAGATAAGAAACTAACGCTGTAGGGAATGTGGAAGAGGAGAGATTAGTAGGAAATGGCCCATCTTTGTTACAGGCCTTGGGAGGCATGTAGGAGAACAAAGAGTCCAGCACTTTGTCGATA